ATATATAAATTATATTATAAATAAATAATAGAAATTTTAAGGAGCTCTATTTTATTTTCCTTAGCACTGGCACTATTTTACAATTCCAGCAATCATATACAAGGGTTCTAATTTTTCTACATTCTTGTCAACACTTGTAATTTTTTTTTTCAATAACCATACTAACTTCTGTGAGGTGATATTTCACACCAAGTGGTATGGTTTTCACTTGTTAAGATGATTAGTGATGTTGGTCATCTTTTTTATATGCTTGTTGAACCTTTATATGCAAGATGAACGTTAATAAGTAGAGGACCATCTGTATAGGTCAAAGGTAATTTGGAGTGAATTATTTTTTGAAAGAGAGAGAAAAGGAGAGCACGTGCTGGGGAGAAAGGCAGAGGGAGAGAGAGAGACGGAGAGAGAGAGAGAGAGAGAGAGAGAGAGAATCTTAAATAGGCTCTGTGCTCAGCACGAAGCCCAACATGGGGCTCAATCCCATGACCCTGGGATCATCCCTGAGATGAAATCAAGAGTTGGATGCCTTGACTGAGCTACCCAGGAGCCCCTGAAGTGACTTCTAAAGATACTTCTTCATTCTTGCTAAAACTTAAGGAACTGAATGGAAATTTCTGTGCCTGGGATTTTTTCTGTATTAAGTTTTTCTGTTGCACCACAAAAGATTAAAATTCATGGAGTTAAATAACAAATTGAAGACACCAAGTAAACCTTAGTTATTGGGAAATAACCATTCTGGGCTATTCCTTGGGTATAAACAGTATATTAAATCATCTTACTGCACTGCTCTAAACCTTTCAATGACTTTCTATGCGGATGTGAATCCATACAAGTCCATAAAATGGTCTGCAGATCCCTATTCAATCTAGCTTCTAATGACCTCTCTAACTTTGTCTCCTGCGGCTCTCCATTTATACATGCTGATGTTTCACACTAATCTTCACGCTGCTCCTACAGTATGACAGGTAGGTTCTCATGTTATGGATGTTGTCCTTACGTGTCAAGCTTCCTAAAATCCTCTTCTCCCAAAAAGCATGACTTTGTCTCACAATTCTTGACAGGTCTTGACCCAGATGTCATCTTGGCATCATCTCCCATAAGTATTCCATTTGATACAGTACCCTTCCCCCAAAGCTAAATTCTACTTGACTTTTTATTCTTCTCAGTTGCACTTAATATCACAGGATATTTTTACATGTACTTAGTTATTTGTTTATTATACGTCTCCATAGTAGTATAATTGCAATAGAGGAAAATATTTTTTCTCTATTTTGTTCACTGCTGTAGCCTCAAAACCAATAGCCTTTTTTAATGAATGAATAAATAACGTCTAGAGGCATTTTACCAACACTCTACTTAACTTTTCTAAGGGGCCGAACCCGTGGCTGTTACAAAATAGGTCACAGCTCACATCTCTGTCTAGTTCACGGACTCCTGGTGCGCTCACTGTTTAACGGTTACCACAGCCTGAAAAGTGCCTTCAGAACTAACCTGATGGTGGTCTATGGCTCTTCAGCTCTTTGCTTTTTAAAATTATTATTACTTAATATTATTATTATTAAGGACCATTTCCACATTTATTATTATTAAGGACCATTTCCACATTTACAATGCTATTTTCCATATTTTGTAACTTGATTTAGAGCACAAATATTCTAGCAAGAATTTAGAACTTTTGAAAGACATCCGGCCATTTATGCATAAATGTTTACTTTTTACAACACTGCATTAAATGTTATTTCTCTTGCTTACTGAATCTTTTTGGAGATTCCCTTAAATGTGCACCCTAGATAAATGTCTCATTTGTCTGATGCCAGTCCTGACCCTGAGAAAGATGCTCAAAAGGAATGATTAGAATAACAAGTTCTTCCCCAAATTTTGTCAAACTATTGACCAGTTAATTACACAAAGTAGATGTTAGGAAAGGGAGAGTACATGTGGCGAGATTCTACAATATTAACACGTTTTTCAGGTGGTTCCTGGTTCCAAACATATTGGAAACTCAGTAAGTGGATTGTCTCACTAATTCACGGAGAAAATTCACAGCTAAAAGTGTAGGTGGGAGGAAATACGAAATAAACAAAAAAGCATGTCAGACCGGGCACTTCCTTCTGCTGACCTTGACTCATAGAACAAGTTTTGTGCCACATTCGCCTGTCTGCAATGGACAGACAAGTGATATACGCTGATTTAAACTTATCCAGGGGTTCTTGCCTGGAAAAGTCATCACCCCCTTCTCTTCCTCGGGGTAAGTCCCTCTTATTTTCTATTTGGCATTTGTTTAGCTTTCAGTGTTTGATTTTCCTCTTATATGTATGGTTTTAAATCACAGCTGTGAGGAAGAGCAGCAGCCCTATATTGATTTTATGTAGCTATAGTATAGCTTGTCTGTATGTAACAGTAACGGTGAAGAAAAGCACATATCTTGTAAATTTCTTTTTATTTTTAATCAAGATATTAGTGTGAAAAGTGAACATCACTTCTATTCCAGAGCCTTGGTTAAAAACTAGGAAGAAATATTTTACCTGCATGAACAAAGTAATATTTTTAGAGATATATTACTACTCTGCTATCATGGTAACCTACCATATTCCAAATCCTTCCACAAAATACTAATGTTAAGTTTTACTGCATTCCCTCCAATAGCGGTTTTTTCCCAATACAAAGTATAAGCGCAACGATTAATATCTTTCACTATCCAAAGAGAAGGAGAAAAATTTTCCTATAAGAAAATCATATTCAAGATCAAAGACTTCAACGTCATTACAATCAGATACTTTCTATCTTTGAGACTTGATACTTGAAATGTATCACAGTGTAGAAGGAGATAAGCCATGAGACACTGGAGAATATCATTAACAAACGTATTTGACACTTGCTGAAATTAGCACTTTTCCGTGTCAGAGGAATTAGCATTCTAAGCGGGGGGAAAACAATGGAAACTGTCATGTGAGGTGATAGGTGATGGATGCCATGGCCTAGATATGGATGAAAAAAGATCAGAAACTAGGCAAAAATTTTGCATGAAATTATCGTGAAATTCTGAAATCTAACCTAATGTACTATTGGGAATTTTATCTAACCTGATATTCATTTCATATTATGCTAAGCATTGGGCTATATCCTTTTAAGATGATTTGGTATAGGTTTGAAACTATTAAATTATCAATGTTCTAAACTGGGGGGAAAAAAGCTTAGCTCTAACCAAATAAGTTTTACTATACACTATACATGGAGGTTAAGGGGAATTGGAGGATCTTAAAAGCTACAGTCAGAGTTTGGTTTGGTGACAGTTATTTTTTATGGGAAATAATGAAGATTTATTTTACTCTATTCAGATTTAGCAAAAGTGGAAAGAAAGGAAGACGGTATTTAAAAAGGAATGCAGAAAATGAATATAGAGAAAGGCAGCGAGATATTCCTCAAGATGTACTATCTATGACCCCAAATGAATGCATCCAGAAAATTTGTCTAGTCTGATCATATTTTTATCCTACAAAATACCATCATGAAAGGAACCCTGAAAAAAAAAGTAGAATAAAGTCAACAAAGTGTGTAATTTAAAAACACTGATCTGATATTACAGTTATTGTAAAACCACTGCTGACCTCCTTCGCTAAACTTTTCAGGCTGTGGTAACCGTTAAACAGTGAGCGCACCAGGAGTCCGTGAACTAGACAGAGATGTGAGCTGTGACCTATTTTGTAACAGCCACGGGTTCGGCCCCTTAGAAAAGTTAAGTAGAGTGTTGGTAAAATGCCTCTAGACGTTATTTATTCATTCATAAAAAAAGGCTATTGGTTTTGAGGCTACAGCAGTGAACAAAATAGAGAAAAAATATTTTCCTCTATTGCAATTATACTACTATGGAGACGTATAATAAACAAATAACTAAGTACATGTAAAAATATCCTGTGATATTAAGTGCAACTGAGAAGAATAAAAAGTCAAGTAGAATTTAGCTTTGGGGGAAGGGTACTGTATCAAATGGAATACTTATGGGAGATGATGCCAAGATGACATCTGGGTCAAGACCTGTCAAGAATTGTGAGACAAAGTCATGCTTTTTGGGAGAAGAGGATTTTAGGAAGCTAGACACGTAAGGACAACATCCATAACATGAGAACCTACCTGTCATACTGTAGGAGCAGCGTGAAGATTAGTGTGAAACATCAGCATGTATAAATGGAGAGCCGCAGGAGACAAAGTTAGAGAGGTCATTAGAAGCTAGATTGAATAGGGATCTGCAGACCATTTTATGGACTTGTATGGATTCACATCCGCATAGAAAGTCATTGAAAGGTTTAGAGCAGTGCAGTAAGATGATTTAATATACTGTTTATACCCAAGGAATAGCCCAGAATGGATATTTCCCAATAACTAAGGTTTACTTGGTGTCTTCAATTTGTTATTTAACTCCATGAATTTTAATCTTTTGTGGTGCAACAGAAAAACTTAATACAGAAAAAATCCCAGGCACAGAAATTTCCATTCAGTTCCTTAAGTTTTAGCAAGAATGAAGAAGTATCTTTAGAAGTCACTTCAGGGGCTCCTGGGTAGCTCAGTCAAGGCATCCAACTCTTGATTTCATCTCAGGGATGATCCCAGGGTCATGGGATTGAGCCCCATGTTGGGCTTCGTGCTGAGCACAGAGCCTATTTAAGATTCTCTCTCTCTCTCTCTCTCTCTCTCTCTCCGTCTCTCTCTCTCCCTCTGCCTTTCTCCCCAGCACGTGCTCTCCTTTTCTCTCTCTTTCAAAAAATAATTCACTCCAAATTACCTTTGACCTATACAGATGGTCCTCTACTTATTAACGTTCATCTTGCATATAAAGGTTCAACAAGCATATAAAAAAGATGACCAACATCACTAATCATCTTAACAAGTGAAAACCATACCACTTGGTGTGAAATATCACCTCACAGAAGTTAGTATGGTTATTGAAAAAAAAAATTACAAGTGTTGACAAGAATGTAGAAAAATTAGAACCCTTGTATATGATTGCTGGAATTGTAAAATAGTGCCAGTGCTAAGGAAAATAAAATAGAGCTCCTTAAAATTTCTATTATTTATTTATAATATAATTTATATATATATATTTATATATAATGTATTGTCAGGTTAGCTAACATACAGTGTATACAGTGTGCTCTTGGTTTTGGGGGTAGATTCCATTTTCCCCTCTCCCCCACCTCCAAATCAACCCTCAGTTTGTTCCCTGTATTTAAGAGTCTCTTGGGGCGCCTGGGTGGCTTAGTCGGTTAAGCGTCCGACTTTCGCTTAGGTCATGATCTCGCGGTTCGTGGGTTCGAGCCCCGCGTCGGGCTCTGTGCTGACTGCCAGCTCAGAGTCTGGAGCCTATTTCAGAGTCTGTGACTCCCTCTCTCTCTGACCCTCCCCTGCTCACGCTGTCTCTCTCTCTCTCTCTCTCTCCCCCCTAGAAATAAATAAAACATTAAAAAAAAAAAGAGTCTCTTATGGGTTTGCCTCTCTCTCTGAAATTTTTACCCTTCCCTTCCTTCATGGTTTTCTTAAGTTTCTCAAGTTCCACATATGAGTGAGAAGTCTTTCTCTGACTGGCTTATTTCACTTAGCACAATACCCTTCAGTTCCAATCACATTGTTGCAAATGGCAAGATTTCATTCTTTCTCATTGCCAAGTAGCAATTCCACTGTATATATAAACTACATCTTCTCTATCCATTCATCAGTTGATGGACACTTGGGCTCTCTCCATAATTTGGCTATTGTCAAAAGCACTGTTATACACATTGGAGTACATGAGCCCTTATGCATAAGCACTCTTGTATCCTTTGGATAAATTCATAGTAATGCTATTGCTGGGTTGTAGAGTAAATCTATTTTAAATTTTTTGAGGAACCTCCATACTGTTTTCCAGAGCAGCTTCACCAGTTGCATTCCCACCAATGTCTATGCATGTCTTCTGCCCATTTCTTCACTGGGTTATTTGTTTTTCAGGTGTTGAGTTTGGTAAGTTCTTTATAGATTTTAGACACTAACCCTTTATCTGATATGTCATTTGCAAATATTATCTCCTATTCTGTCAGTTGTTTTTTAGTTTTGTTGATTGCTTCCTTTGCTATGCAAAAGCTTTTTATCTTCATGTGGTGCCAATAGTTCATTTTTGTGTTTACTTCCCTTGCCTTTGGAGATGTGTCAAGTAAGAAGTTGCTGCGGCTCAGAGCAAAGAGGTTGTTACATGTGTTCTCCACTAGGGTTTTGATGGTTTCCTGTGTCACATTTAAATCTTCCATCCATTTTGAGTTTCTTTTTGTGTAGGGTGTAAGAAAGTGGTCCAGTTTCATTCTTTTGCATGTGGCTGTCCCATT